TCTTAAACTGGGTTTGAAAACGTCGTTTCCATTCATCAGTTTAGCATTTTCCAATAGGAAACGGCTTAATTCAAGGGATGAACGATTTGCTCGTCCCTTTGCGACGGATCTTGACTTGGAAATGGGAATTATTCGCTGAAATTATAGTGTCCTTGTTATTCTGTTCAACTGGAAGGTTTCGAATAGTTTAACTGTGGAAATTAATGTATCGCAATTAAGATAATACTAGAGTGGGTTTCGGGATTAGAAACACCTCTATTAGTGTTTATGCACACAAAAATTTAATTCTTCAATTCTCAATCCAATTTTTATTGCTTTAATTAAAATTATTTTATTAATTCTTATACGTGCATAGACTGATATCCACAAGTTATCAAGAAGAACTTAATAATTCACCAGATTTGGGTCATGAAATTAACAATATCAAGTTTAACATGCAAAACTGAAAGCTTATCCAACAGCGTAAAAGCACTAGTTGAAAGTGGAATGAATCAATAACAGCGGAGCAATGAAACATTAGCTTTGTCGACCATCCCATGTGTTAAATGAATATCATCCACACTGCTAAACAGTACAATGTGGAGAAAGAGCTCAACTCCAGTAGGCTTGGAAAAGCCGTAATAATCTTGTGGTCATTAGATAAAATGTATTTATGTCTGGTAAAATGTGAGTGAGTAACATTTGCGGTTGATCACTACTTTCTCCACTGGTCATGTTCATATTCACGAAAATCATTATCTTCGTTATTTTTTAATTCGATATTTATTCGAAAACCTTTATTTGGAATGTCATCTCACAAGAACATAAGTAAGCAATTCTAAACGAACTTATGTTTACAAATAAATTTTTAACTATTTTTTTTTGCAAATATGTATGCTTAAAAATGTATACATAAAAAAGTATGCTCAATAAAAAAGTGCACATCACTTCTGCGTTTTTTAATAGAATATTATTACATTTTTATCTTCTACATGTATAATAAAGGTATCTTTATCAAAGGCATAATGGAGAAAAAGTTTTTTCTACAATTTTATATAATGTGAAGAAATTTTAAAAAACTTTTTTATCGTCAATGTCGAATTTATCCTTTTCATAGGATCCTTGTATACTTATCAGAACGTCAACTCTTAAAAATAAACCGTTTTCCAGATAATAGCAATTTGTTGCACAAATGATAAGTTTTAATGGAATATGGTATTTTCTGCAAAATCCCATGGTATAGCCTTATCAAATGTGCATTATAGCCATATTGCATTCTAAAACAGTTTACTATTAATTAGTAAGTACCTAGCTCTCAAAACCAGAGATTATTCTACAGCTCAAAGAATTGATATGATTTTCACCATTGGCAAGTGTGACAAAAAATTATCTGCAAGCAGCAAAATTTGTTATTTCCTAACTGTGGCATTCCGCTAAATCTCATAGCAAATCCGCATAATCGATACTGTTGTAAGTACATTTTGTGAAATAAGCTTGAAACTAAGTCACAATTTAACATATGTTTATTATTCTTGACAAAAGCTATGTACCTGATAGCTACAAAAACCATCATTGCTGCTTTGATGTTTTATCAGAAAATTGTAGAAGAATACAACTCTAAAATAAAAAAATTTGCAATTTGAGTGAAGTGAAGATTTTAACTTTTCTTTTCAAATGCTTAAGAATTCCAATGGGTTACCAACCAAACATGGGACCATTTAAAGATAATACTTGAGTAAGTATAACAAAGTTATCATTCGATTTTTAAGTCTCATTATCTTTTA